CACTGTACCAGGATGCCATCTCTGATTTCTGTTCAGCCTGATTTGTTCCACTGGTACTGAAGCCACACTCTTTCCTTCATTGGAGGTGGGGATCACCTTTCTTTTCCCAGGAGCCAATTTCACCTGTGTTTGTATTTCTCCTTTATTGTTATTTTGAGATACATATTAGAGGCTGCAAATTAGGGTCAACTTGGAAGTATTGTGAGTGGAGTGACTTCAGGCTGTCAAACCAGAAGTTTTTAATCTACTTCCTTGTTTTTCTCCTGAAGCAATGGAAATTTCTGGCCACCAGCTGGGACTGGAGTTGATTTAGTGCCAGAGAGGTGAAACGTGGGAAAATATAGGGATATTGTTTGTTAATGTTACTTATTCATTCTCAGCAGTAGGTTTTATGATTTAGAAAACATTTCCTGGTTTTGAACACTTAACAATACAGTCTCTAAGCATGTCAAACATTGAGGTGGGGAGATTTGCTATGGGAAGGCCAAGAGGATAAACTCAGATGGTGGGTTTGTAATTGCTTGCTTTTTTCTTTAATGATCTTAGCTTTTCATTCTAACTTTAATGAGCTTAATCGTTAATGGCTTTATTTATTTATTTAAGATTGACTTTTAAATTTTTGTTGACTATTCTAGGTTAATTGCACATTAATAGGGTTCAATATATTTTAATACATGCATACAGCATGCACTGATGAAATTCAGCCTCCTTCATCCACCCTCCTCCCCTCTTTTGAGTGTCTAGTCATCATTATTCTACATTCAGGTTGACTTTTTTTTTTAACTTCTATATATGAGAGAGAACATGTGATACTTATCTTTCTGTGTCTTCCTTCACATGATGTCCTCCAATTCCACCCATTTTGCTGCAAAATAATATTCCATCCTTTCTGTCTGAATAATACTTCACATTTTTCTTTATCCATCTGTTGATGAGCACCTAGGTTGATTCCATATCTTAGCTATTGTGAACAATGCTGCAATATGTGTGATGTGCAGGTATCTCTTTGGTGTGCCCATTTCGTTTTCTTTCTATATAAGTGGGATAGTTGGATAACATGGTAGATCTATTTTTAGTTTTTTTTGAGGAATTTCATACTGTTCTTCATAATGGTTGTACTAATTTATATCCCCACTAACAGTCCTCACCAGCATTTGTTAGTTTTTGATAATAACCTTTCTAACTGGGATGAGATAAGGTATATCATTGTAATTTTGATTTGCATTTCCCTGTTGGTTAATGATTTTGAGAATTTTTTCATCTATTTATTGGCCATTTGTATTTCTTCTGAATAATAGAATAAAGTGTCTATTCAGATCATTTGCTCATTTTTGGGTTACTAGTTGTTTCGTTGCTAAGGTTTTTGAGTTTCTTGTATTCTGGATAGTAATTCTTGGTCAGATTGCCAAATAGTTGGCAAATATTTTTTCCCAATCTGTGGATTGTCTCTTCCTTCTGTTAATTGTTTCCTTTGTACAGAAGCTTTTTAGTTTGGTATAATCCTACTAGTCTATTTTTGTTTTGGTTTCCTATGATTTGGGGGTCAAAATTTTATATCAATGTCTTGAAGAAGTGTTTCCCCAATGTTTTCTTCTAGTACTTTCAGATTTACATTTAGGTCTTTTATCCATATAAGCTTATTTTTCTACAGGGTGAGAGATAGGGGGTCAAATCTCAATCTTCTGTGTATGGGCATCCAGTTTCTCCAGCACCTTTCCTCAGAGACTGTCCTTTGTCCAACGTATGATTCTGGTGATTTTTTAAAAAATCAGTTGGTTGTAGATGCCTACATTTAGTCCTGGGTTCTCCTTTCTGTTCCACTGAGTCTGTGTCATGGTATTTATGTGAATACTATAGACCATAGTATGTTTTGAAATCAGGTATGGTAGCACCTCTAGATTTTTTCTTTTTGTTCAAGATTGCTTTGGCTATTTGGGATCTTTTTTGCTCCCTTATGAATTTCAAGACTTCTTCTTTTTTTAGTTCTGTGAAGAATATCATTGGTATTTTGAAGGAGATTGTATTGAATTGGTAAATAGCTTTGGATAGTATGGACATTTTAACAATATGGTTTATTCCAATCCATTAACATGGGAGATGATTTCTTTCCTCTTCAACTTCTCACATTAGTGTTTTGTGGTTAAAATTACAGGGGTCTTTCACTCCCTTAGTTAAAGTCATTCATAGTGTGTGTGTGTGTGGGGGGGGTAGCTATTTTGAGTGGGATGGCTTTCATGATTTCTTTCTTAGAAAATTTGTTGTTGTTTTACAAAAATGCTACTGAATTTCTTTGTATGTTGACTTTGTATCCTGCAACATTACTGAGTTCATTTGTCAATTCTAATACTCTATATTTTTAAATATATAATATAATATCATTTGCAAACAAGATTGTTTGAATTCCTCTTTTCCCAATCATATGCCCTTTAATTCTCTCTCTTATCTAATTGCTCTGGTTAAAACTTCCATCACTATATTGAATAAGAGCAGTGAGAGTGCATGCCTTTAGTTTATTCTAGATCTTAGAGAAAACACATCCAGTTTTCCCCATTCTGTATGATGTTGACTGTGGATTTGTTATATATAGCATTTATTATATGGGGTGTGGTCCTCTATACCTAATCTGTTCAGGATTTTTATCATGAAGGAATGTGAACCTTATCAAATGCTTTTACTGCATCTAAAGATGGTGATTGTATGATTCTCATCTTTTATTTTGTGATATGATGTATTACATTTGTTGGTTTGAATATGTTGAATAATCCTTGCAGCCTGGGAGAAACAGCTGGGTCATGGTGAATGATCATTTTGATGTGTTACTGGATCTGGCTTGCTAGTACTTTGTTGAGATTTTTTTGCATTATTGTTCTTGGGATATTGATTTATAGTTTTCTTTTGCTGCTGTTGTTATATCCTTACCTGGTGTGATATCAGGGTAATGCTTGCCTTATAGAATAAGTGTGGAAGGCTCCCCTCCTTTCAATGCTTTGAATAGAAAGGCAAACATATACCTAGGATATGTGTCTGTTTTTGTCAAAATGAACCACTGGCCATGCCAAGGAGAAAGGTTTGATTGCAGTGAACTTGCCACCCAGTGAACAATTGATCTCCTCAAGAACTGGAGACATCTTGGGAACTCAGTGTTAGTCTTTGTGGAGGTACATTGGATATTCAGCAGTAGCAGTAGGTAGGAAAGCTTTGACAAGAGGGAGCCCATAAAGCAGGGTGCATATATAGACCCCACTCTTGCCTCCACTATTTCATTATGCATCCATTGCACCTACTTTGGGGTGGCATAATGGCTGGGTGATGTCGACAGGCCAGGTCACTTTTTCTGCCTGGTTGTTCAATACAAATTGTGTAGTAGGCATTTTCTGGTGGGCATTACCATGCAATATAAAACTCTTCCTGCATCATGCTCATATCTATTTCAGCCCTTCTTGTTCCTGATCTTTCACTCTTTCTCATTTTAGGCTCCTGACCATGTGGCTGGTTCAGTTGCCACTATTGATGAGTCTGTATATTCTAACTTCTGAACATTTCTTGTTCCATAGTAAATGGACACTTAGGTGTACCATTCACTTCTATTTATTTGGAGGAATTTTCCTACTAGAATTTTTCATGGCTGCTCTGAAAGGAGCTGTAGTGCAGCTAGAGCCCATTTTTTTTTTTTTTGCTTTTGTCTGTAAGATGAAGCTGACTCATTCAAAGCCAAGTGTTTTGCTCCTTCGTTAGCTGGTAGTGAGGAATCTTTCTATGCAGCTATGTGAGCGGAGAGAAGGGTACAGGCACAAAACTGGTGGATGACATAAGATCTGGGGAACCATCTGGTGTGATTTGCTTATGACTTCTGGTCCTCTACATGCTTGATCTAGGATGCACCACTTTCATCCCTATAATCTCTTCTCCCACCATATGCCCTGACAATGCTATGTCTATCTCATTTATAATGGTCCACTGCATTTTTCATGCTTCTAGGAGCCATCTTAGCATGAGTTCACATCATTTCAAGGAGACTTTGCCAGGGTGTTATATGTTGTACCTCATGTCTGTCAAGAGTGCTTCAAAATCTAAAAACTTTCCCTTATCAACCTTATACTCCTGTTCCTTGTCAGATACATTCAGCCCCATGTGTATTCCACCCTCCTCTACTCCTACCCCCATACTAGAAGTTCATTTTGAGTAGGTCTTGCATCTCCTTTAGGAGCTCACCTATTGTGCATCAAGTCTAACATGTCCCCACCCAGGTTGCATTGCAAATTCACCACCTATCCCTGGTGTTTGGTCTAGTGGCCAGGAGGAGAGAAATAGGTTATTATCTTTGCAGGTCACATGTTGTTTTGTGAAGAGAGTCTTCTGCATCCTCTTTAAGTGGGGAGTACTGGCCCCAATAGGGAAATGGGCCACTTCTTCAGACTCAAAGGGTACAAGAGGGCCTAGGGACTCAAAATGATTGAATGCAGCAACCCATATGTTCCCATTCCTTGTGTCAGGGTCCCATTTCTTCCTAACTAGTGACTTGACTTGTCAGAACAAGCCTGTCCCATTTGGGACTTTAACTGTATCTGGTGTCAATTCCTAGGTCTGAGTTTCTCCTTTCTCTGCCCTCCTGCTGTAGATGAGAAGGACATTGAATTTTCCCATCGACACCTTCTGGATTTCACACTTAACTAGTAATTGTAACTAATCTGTTTTAGCTTTTCCTTATCTTTCCCCAAAGTTTTATTCAAATTTGTTGGGAAGCAACCACTTCCATTGTCCTCATAGTTATTATTTGCTCTATATTTTTCATAGCTTGACATTTTATAGCTGGGCTAATGTGTTCCCTTACACTCTTACACCATACCAGTATAATTGCCACCAGTGAAATTATATCATTGCCAGGGCTCTCTGTGATTCACCTGTCCCTGGTGATAGAGTCCTAATCACCATTTGGGTGTGGGTGCTTCAGCTCCAAATCCCATTCCAGCATCTGCTTTCTCTGGCTACTTCCAATCCCAATGGCCACAAGTCAGGTTCCTGGAGAAGAAGAATATGAGATGGAACTTAGTATGTGGGAAGTTTATTAGCCAGAGCTCTTAGAATCAATCTTCGTGGAGGGGAAGCTTCTTGGATAGAGGGAGAAGCTGAATTACAGTTTATTTGCAGTGGAGGCTTTGGCTGCTCCTCTTGAGAGTTCTGAAGAAGAAATGACCTGTGGCATTGTCCTGAGTTAGGGTAGGAGAATAATAAGTAATGAACACTTTATACACCCTTGTTGGGTCTGTGGGCCACCCCAGAAAACCCTGGTGGCCTTGGGCAAGGCAGCTTTCTTTAGGGATGATTGCATACTGTAAAATAGTCATTGTGTAATAAATTTACTAACTTATGCTTTTTTCCCCCATAGCATCTTTTTATGGTGAAAGCTATGTGGAGCTCAACATCCTAGAAGTTTCCTCTGAGCTATCTCTTGAATTAAAATTTCAAACCAGCAAGCCACAGGGGTTACTTTTTCTTGCAGCTGGAAAAAATGACTATTGTGTAATAGAACTTCTAGCAGGAACCTTACGGGTATGGTTTAAAAAATATATCCTTAAAATATAGATTACTGGAGAGAGAGAAAAGTGAAAGAGAAAGAGAAAAATCTATCTATATTTGTCGATTAATTGCTATCAACTCACTAGAACAAAGTGAGATATTTGTATAGAGGGAAATCTTCTTCAGTGTTGTCAGTATGTCCTAAATATTCTGATTCTAAAATTTTCAAACTTCAATATGAAATCTACAAGTGTAGGAAGAGTTTTTCAAATCTCTCTCTCCTTCTCTCTCTCTCTCTCTCTCTCTCTCTCTCTCTCTCTCTCTTTCTCTTGGTGTGAGGACCCTTAGTTCATTTCCTGTTGCCATATCAAAATACCTGCACTTTTGGCTCATGGTTCTAGAGGTGCAAGGACGGGGTTCTGGCATCTGCTCTGCTTCTGGTGAGGGCCTCATGGTGAAAGGGATACATGGTGAGAGGGAAAGCAAGAGATCCAGCTGAGGAGTTGAGCTTGCTTTTTAACAACCGCCCCCCCACCCCCAATTTGCAACTTGTTCTAACAATCTGTTCTTACAATACCTAATCCAGTTCCATAAGAGTGAGGACTCATTCCCTTGAGAAAAGCATTAATCCCTCTTCATGACTTAATCACTTCTTAAAATCCCCAACAACTTTCTCTACTGCTGTATTGGGGACTTAAACTCCATGAGTTTTGGTGGAGACAAACCATATTCAAACCATAGCCCAGTCCCATTCTCTTTTCTTTTATTTTCTTTTGTTTTAATGTGTTTTTATTTATTAGAATTGTGTGAAGTTGTGTTCCATCACCCATGGAACACACAGTAACAAATATCTGATACAAAAATAACTAATTCTAATATTGAACACAGAATAGTTCTATTTCTATTAATAATAAAAAACCAAAACTAAGTTTTTATTGGAAATTTTAAATTCAGGCCATTATTTCACAATTTCAAAATCAGAGTAATCCAATTTCAAGATGATTTTCTCATGGTTGAAATTTGCTTTGTCAATGTGCGATTTGGGACTTCCTGTTGTCTCAAGCCATTCCTGCATGTGACGCACCTTAAAGATAGGACCTTGAAATTGTCCTTGCACTGTGCTCCAGTCAGTGTTCTGGACCCAGCCTGCCAATCCTAGCTTTTTACCCTCAGCCTGAGTGTACTTGTGGTAAACCACCCCTTGCACCTTCCTCAAAATTTTGTAATCCACTGATACCAAGGTGTCCCCTTCTGCCATGCTGAAACCTCTTAGTTTTCCCCACAAGGGGCCGAATTACACCAGCAACCACAAAGCCAACTGCCCCCAGCCACACAAATGACTACTCCCGGAAGTTTAGGGTGCCAGTCCTATTTTCATAATAAAATACTTTGGAGAAATGAGATGAGATTTATTAATCATGATTCTTTCTCTTTCAGGTGAGAATGCATTTGGGTGCAGGTGAACAAGTGCTCCTTTCTGAGCAAAGAGTTCATATGGACAACTTGGTTTGGCATTTGGTGGAACTGTACTATGTTAAGGATCATGTTTTCTTGGTTATTGACAAACATTATGAGACAACTAGCCAAATGTCTGGTGGGGTGCATAATTTGAATTTTCACCATGGAATCTACATAGGAGGCCACGGGGGGCTCAATGTGCCTTACCTAGATGGAAATCTTCCTAACTTCCGCGGATGTATGGAGGATGTCATATTGAACCAGCGGGAGATCCTTATGTCCCTTAGATCTTATCCTGGTTTTAAGAAGGTTTATGAGGTCTCACTAGGATGCAATGATGAGTTTTTTGCAGGAGAGGATGAAGCCATCAATTTCTTTAGCTCTAGATCCTATGTCACCTTTCCAGAATGGAAGGTTCAAGGGGAAGGGCTATTGGAATTTGCTTTGCAAACTGGAACCCAACAAGCCTTGCTTTTATTTCAGCCAGGTAGAGAAGGGGATTTTGTCGCCTTGGAAATACATGAGAGTCTACTGAAGGCGTATGGAGGAAGAAATGAAAGCAAAATTCAGCTTTCTTCTTTTAACTTAGTTAGTGACAACAAGTGGCATGTTATTCAACTCAAACTCAGGGAAAGGTATATGGACTTAGTGGTAGATGCACAAAGGGTGAGGACTTTGCTGCCTTTTCAAAGCAAACCATTTGTGTCCAAAGGCCCCCTCTTGGTGAGGGGTCTTGATACTCGAATGTGGGAAAAAGTGAAGAGGTTAGAACTGGCCTCTGTGCCTAGAAAATCTGCTCCAGGAATCTCTTTGAAAGGGTGCATAAGAGACTTGAAAACCAACTCAGAAAAGAGAGCATTAAGGGACGCCCTTATTTCCAAAGATATTTCTGCTGGGTGCAAAATCAAGAGTATTGATAATGCTAATCCTTCTACCACAGTGACGGAAACCCTGCTTCAGTCAGAAGTTTCCCATTCCACTGCAGTGCCTGGGACTAACTTCCAAGATGAAAGTAGCCACTCTTTGGTTGTGAGTAACTTGGAGGTCCAAGAAGGTGGACGAGCCCTTTTGGAACCACAGCATGTAGACGTAAATGAAGAATTTAAGGATTTGGACATCAATTATTCTCAATTACTGTTTAAAATAGAAGAAATGCCTGTTCATGGATTCATTCAATTAGATGTTTCCCCTGAACCAGAAATGGAGAAGACTTTTACTCTGTTAGATTTGTGGCAAGAAAAAGTGTGGTATGTGCATGATGGTTCAGAGCAACCTACGGATCGTTTCACATTTTCCATCTCTTTCCATAGCAAGAAGGAAATCCCGTCATACCTGCAGAACCATGTTCCACGTGTGTTTAACATTATTGTCATTCCAGTGAATGATCCCCCATACCTGAAGCTCCAGGAAGGAAATCTGCTGGTCCTGTTTGAGAACTCGAAGAAACAACTGACCCCAAATGTAATACAGGTGTCAGACCCTGACACAGTGTCTTCAAGTCTTAGTTTTTCAGTTCTTGGCAGCTTCAATTCAGATGCTGGATTTTTAGAAAATGCCAATGATCCTGGGAGACCCATTAATAGCTTTACACATGAGGATTTAAGAGATGGCAACATTTTCTATGTGCACAGGGGTCACCGCAACTCGCGGATTGTTCTGAGAGCAAGTGATGGTGAGCTGGTTAGCAATACAGCTGTGTTACGGGTCATGGCTGTTCCTTGGGACTTTGAAGTGGCCAATAGGACTGGTGTGATTGTATCACAAGGGGGCTCTGTTCTGATCACAGGGAGTAACTTGTCAGTGGAAATTAATGGTGAACGACATGAGATGGAGGCTCGCTATGACATCACTCACCCACCTCAGTTTGGCCAGATTCAGCGTAGAGGGTTGAGTGGAGAATGGAAACAAGTTAGGACCTTTTCTCAGCGTTCCATAGATCGGGGTAGGGTCCGGTACCATAGTACATTCCAAGAACTGCAGCAAGAAAATATTACCGATCACTTTAAATTTAAAGTTAGCATAGAAGGAAAAGTCAGCAAAGAGCTCATATTTCCTGTGACCATACAATGGCTGAAAATTGTACTTTTGAAAAATGTTCCCCTAGAGGTCAGTAACATAAACCAGCAAATATTGAATTCTGATCATTTGCAGGCTGCAGCATGGGGTGTGGAAGTAGCCAAGAGGGAGCTACTTTTTAAGTTACTGACCCCACCTAAGAAAGGAAAATTGCTACATGGCGATAAAGTTCTCAAAACAAACTCAACCTTCAGCCAAAAAGATATTACTGACTCCAAGATAAGTTATGAACCTCAGGAGAGGCCAAGGGAAGACTCCCAGGATACTTTTAGGTTTTTGATTATTGCAAAACACATAGAATCAAATGACTATACTTTCAGAATAAACTTTAAAACAGATAGGACACACATTATTTTAACAAACAAGGGATTGCTTGTAAAAGAAGGAGAAGGCAAGTTAATCACGAAATCTGAATTATTTGTTCGAACCTTGGACAATCAGATCTTCCAATACAAAGTTACCAAGGGTCCTCAACATGGAAAGCTGAAATTGATTAGCTTTCCAGATTCTCTGGAAAGTAATGACAGTATCACTACATTCACTGATCAAGACATAGTGGGTGAACGGCTGATGTATATTCATGATGACTCTGAGACCCAGTATGACGAATTCTTTCTTGTGGCCTCTGCCAAAGGTTCAGGCCAAGAGGGAGTAGCCAGGGATCTTGACTCAGAGCAAATGTCTACAGAAATCAAAGTCACTGTTGCAGTGGAGTTAAAGAATGATGAGAGGCCAGTGCGCATGGTAGATAAGGTCTTCCATGTCGTGCGGAATGGCCAGCGCTTGTTGACCTTGGAAGATCTCTGTTACCATGACCCCGACTTAGATTTTGATGATGGGCAGTTGCTCTACACCCGGCGGGGCATCCCAAATGGGGATTTGGTACGAACCAAGGACCCCACTCAGAAACTCTACCAGTTCAGGCAGGAAGACCTGCGGGAAGGACATGTGCTCTTCAGGCACAGGGGAGCGGACTCTGCCCGCTTCGTGCTGTTTGTAACTGATGGTGTCCATTACACATCGTCCCTTCTTGAGGTCAGTGTGTCAGACCCCTATGTTCAGATAGCCAACAACACAGGGCTGCTTGTACAGAGAGGAAAGGACAGCTGCCTCACCACAGCCAACCTGAGTGTCACCACAAACCAAGATGTCAGAACAGATCTCGAGGTTGAATTCCATATTGTGCGGCCCCCAAAACATGGCAGAGTCCTGGTCAACAATTCTGTGTCCTACTCATTTTCCCAGCATGACCTGAAGCGAGGACAAGTGGTTTACAGGCATCATGGCAGTGGCAACCTTGACGTGTTCAACCTGACAGTGAAAGTGAAAGATACACACTTAGAAGTGGGTGTCTGTGTCCAGGTGTGCTCAGAAGGTCAGCCGCCTCACACCCAGGTCCTGCACAGAAACACCCTTGTAGTTGAAGAAGGAAAACCAGTGAAACTGAGTAGAAGAAGGCTCCAGGTGGGTGTCATCTAAACACCAAGTATTCTTATTCTCCTAGGACCACAGGGGTGGATATTCTGTTTACTTCTGAAAGCTATTTTTATGTAGATTTATCTCCTGTTAATGAAGGGAAATTAATTATAAAAATCTGAGTTATTTTTCAGACCTTGGGCAATCAGATCTTTCAATGCAAAAATCACCAAGAGTCCTCAACATGGGAAGTTGAAATTGATTAACTTTACAGATTCTATGGAAAGTAATGACACGTCACTATATTTGCAGATTGAGACATAGTGGGTGGGTGGGTGACTTTAAAAAAATGCAAAGAAGCCGTTAAGAAGAAAAGCTGAGTGGTTTCATGACTTTGATGCTGCCAATTTCTTTTAGTTGGAAATGGGACATAAGCTTATTTTGAAGCTACGTACACATGTATTCATGTGCTTGTGTAAATTTAGAATAGTATGAACTGGGAATAAGGGAGGGATGTATATATTATGGCCAACTACCTTTGTTTAATTTGACCTGAGTAATTTTATGATGTAGTAATTTAAAAAATATAAACAGGAGTCCTAAAACAGCAGAGGATATTATATTACACAATTTATTTCCTTAGTTTGGAATGTGGCCTTGTTTAGATTCTGAAGATGAATAGATAAAACTGGCTAAGACCAGTGGAATACCAGGGCTCAGGCCACAGCCTTCCCATTTCTTCAGGCTCCTATTTGGAAACTTCCAGGGGGCCCGCCCTGTTCATCAGAGTTAGAGGAAGTGTTCTTCTGAAGGTGTCCTGTAGAAAGTGTATGGGAGAATGAGCTGTGATTAATGATAATTGGCCACAAGTGCAGGCTCCTCTTAATCTGACTTCAGGACTGTAAAAAAATTACAAATGCAACCAATAATACAAAATAGAAGTGAGTTGAAGTGAAAAATCAGTTTTCTACATAAGATGTTCTGACTAAGGGAATATAGGGCCCCTCCTAGCTTTTCTCAAATTTTTATCAAGAGCTCAGGGTGTTAATATATATGTTCCACCACAAGGGGGCATGTGCACTTCAGTGACTGTAAATAAGTTGCAGTCATAGTATTGAGATGGATTTTGCTGAATCAATAAATTAAAAATGTATGGAAAATGCTGAGCTGGTTAAAGTGGGGTAGGAAAAAAAAACTTTTCTCTAAGGTCTTGCAATTTTAGTGATCCCACTACTGTTTCTTCCATAGTCATTTATTCTTTCTCATAGAATTTATTTCTTTCACTTAAACCTTCTAAATCCTGTTTTTTTCCTGCTATGTGTAATGATCTGTTAGTACATTTGTAGCTACTCTAGATTGTTCACTATTATTTTTCTTTGTGATCAGGGCTGATCTTCAAAATATTGGCATAGGTAATAGATCAGATTTAGGTTTAACTGTGTATGAACCCTGAATGTAACTTAAACCATTTGTGGACATGAATAAAAAAGATTAGGGTCATCAATAGTCTTGACTCTTACACACAGTAACATGTTTTTTTTGTTTGTTTGTTTTGTTTTTGTGGGTGTGTTTGTGTGTGGTGTGTTGACTCAAGGCTGGAAATGAAGCCAGTATTCCTCCAGAGGCAGAGTTCATAGTCAGTTCTCCATCAAGGCATGGATATCTCCAAATATCTGAACCAGAAGGTGGCAGCTTGGGTGCAGATGAAAAGTCCACTTTGAGATTCACACACCGGGATCTTGATGATGGCAGGGTTCTTTATGTGCAGACAGCGCCCGACCAACAGCAGGATCGTTTTTCCCTAGACGTGATAAATGATTCCCAAGTGGTGAGTGCAGTGGAAATTCTGCTGGATATCATCCCTAAGTGGATTCCTCTGGAGGTACAGAATTTCACAGTTCAAGAAGGTGGATCCAAAGCACTTCTGGAGGATGACCTCAAAATTCCAAGCAAGTATTTTGAGGGACTTGACTGTGAATTTATTCTACTCGAATCACCAAAACATGGTTATGTTCAAAATTCTGATTTTCCAAGAGTAAAGCTAATGAAATTTACCAGGAAACAGGTAATAACTCTAATATATTTGGTCATGTTAGATAAAATTTGACTGTTTATCATTTATACACATGGGCTTTGGAGGATGATGGGACCTTGGAGGGGCTCTGGTCTGACCTCCCATCAGATGCTAGGGACTTTTCTACAGTATCCCCCATAGAGAGGGGTCCAACTGGTACTTGAACATCTTCAGTGATGGGGAACTTAATACTTCCTGAGATGGGTTCTTCTACTCTAAAAGCTTGCCAACTTTAGTTCTTTGGGCTGAGCTGAAATCTGCCACTTAGAAACTTCTTGGATCCTGATTCCAGTATCCTACAGAATAAATCATTACTCTCTTCATGAAAGTTCTTTGACTATTTGAAAGAAACATTAATCAAATTCCCTGGAATTTTATCTTCTTTAGGTTAAACATCTCTATTCCTCCAACTTGTGCTTATATGCCCTGAGTTTCCTGCATCACCCTGGCTTCCCAGTTCTAAATGAGCAAAATACTTCTGTCCCTCTCAGGATATCAGGGCAACACAGAGGTTCTAAGCATGGGCAGATATTTTGGAGTCATTGTTCCTTTGTTCAACCAACAGATGCTTTCAGAGTATATACTCAGTGCTGTGCTCTGTGCCAAGCCCAAGACTATCATGTTCAAAGTTCCCAGTCCTTGCAATCAGGGAACTGGACCTAACTGTCAATCTGGCATCCAGTCAGGATAAAATCACCAAGGTCAACTCCCGGCTGCTATCAGGTTTCTTTGCTTTGAGCTCAAATGGTGTTATTGTCAGATTTGCTTTCTCTTCCTGCCTCTCCCATTGCATCTTCACAGTGGTGCGATGGGAGGACAGAACTGGTACATTTGATTCTAAGTGAAGGGCAGAGGGAAGAGCATAAGGAAGCCTTCAGGAAGGAGTGATGTTTCACCTAGACTTTGAGGAGAGGAGGAGTGAGGAGATAACAGAGGATGAACCAGAGGCTGGCATTGCAACAAGGTAGCCTTGTGGCACAGGGCATGGAGGCCTTGAAGGGAAGGGTGATCTGGGAGCACAAGGAGTCTTCCACAGGCTGAGGAGTGGCAGAGATTTCTTGGGGATGGAGTGTGGGGAGCCCTCACCCCTGTCCATAGGAGATGTCACCTAAATTGCATGTCAGGAGGGCTAGATTTTTCAGGTGGCATTAGGAAGCCCTGGGGGAATCAGAGAATGCTGAGGGCTGTCAAAGCTCTTATACATCAGATCAGGGAGGGCAATTCTTCAGTGACCTCCTCAGGGATCTCTCAATCATGGCTTCCCTTTCGAAGGCTAGACCAACCCCCTGCATACTAACCACCTGCTCTAGGATGAATTGAATTAATACTTTGCACTTCATGTACTCTAGGTGAGAGCCCAAGCACTATATTTTGGTACCATTTTGGTCAATTCAGTGATGGACTGTGCTTCACAGGAGGTGTGTTTTTAAGGATGGTTGATTGAAATCTGTGTACTGAGATATAAGCATTCCCTGAGGCGCCTATGTCATCATGCAGCTTGTTCACAGTGGAGAGCCAAGGTCACAAGTCTGTGTGTCCAGATGACCTCTTCATCCAGTCCCTTTCTCTGTGACTCCTGAGTTCTCCAGCTTTTGAGATCATCATTTCCTCTTAAAGTGACACTAGTCCCTGACTCTAGCTGTTAATGGCTTGGATAAGGAGTTCCTGCTCAAATTTGCCCTTTATTCATTCAGAAAGTATTTTTGAGTTTGTTATGAGTCTGGGATGCCAGGACTAGGTACTGGGGATAAAGTGGTGAACTAAGGCAGCAATCCTACTCCAATGGAACTTTGTTCCAATTGGGGGGGAAGTGGGAGGCAGGGAGAGACAATAAATAAAATAAATGTGAGACAAATGGCATGTCGAATGAAAGTTAGTACTCTAGAGAAAAATAAAGCAGGAAAGGATCTGGGAAGTGCTGGGGCATTTACTGATGTGTGGGTTGTGAGTATGCATGTTTGGGCATGTTGATGTTCAGTTTCTAATACAGTCAGGGAAGGCCCGTTGAGAGGGTGGCACATGGCAGATACTAGGAGGAGGTGAGTCAGAGAAGCCTAATGTATCAGAAAGAGCTTTCAGGCAGAGGGAGGAACAAGTGCATGGACTCCCAGGTGAGGAGCAGTGTGTGGTCCAGCACCGTGGGAGCCACGTGCTGGTGGGGAAGAGATCTGACTTTTGACCTGAAGTGAGAAGTGAGATCTGGAGCAATAGGAGATAGCAAGGTGTGAGCAGAGGAAAAACTCAGTATACCCCTGAACAGGATCGGTGACAGGGGACCATAGACTCTCAATATTTTCTGGAAATTTGTTGCATCCTTTAATTTTAGGTCATATTTTTCTAGTTTTCAGTCTAGGAATTTACAAATCCCTAACACATCCCATCCTGGATTTCAGGTTAATGTTATGAAATGACATGTAATTTGGGGAAGTGATACTCCACTGAAGAAACGATGTATTTCTCTAGGAAGAATACCTCAGAGATGATTGTTATGTAAATGCTGGGATCCTGAAATGCCTTAAGTTGAGACTTCTCTCATCTTGTGATCAGTGTCACCTTCCATGTTTGTTTTAAAGTAACTTAAAACAGCATGTTCCAGGAACCCATGGTCAGGCCTGTGATCTGGAATTCCTCTGCTCACGGAGCTCCAAAGAAATTCTTATAGCACCTGAGTATGAGTGACAACTCTCCCTTGAGACCCTTCCTGAACTTTTCAACCCATGTCAGAAACACCTCTGAGAGATCAAAAGACTTTGCTCAAAGGAAGTGCGCCACAGGAATGGGCGAAGTTGAACTGCTAAAAATTTTGGCTTTATTTTATCAAAACAAACACAACCTTAGAGACCTTTTCAGAAGTTTAACAACTCCATTTGGGATTTGGAAGTTCTCTGCCATTGTCTATTTGGGTCACAGACTCATTGAAGCTTTAAAATTCTCTTGGTCTCTAATTTTGATCCTGGGCTTTTTATCGTCTTCTACCTGAATCTTAGATACATGAGAGGCATTCTGATCAAAATTTTGGTTATTATAAATTGAAAAGGAAAAACTAAGTCATTGGATGACTGCCTCAGAATTAATTAAAAATATGTAATCTTATAGGATAAAAGTAAATATTTGCAATTTGATAGAATAATTTGACTCCAATGTATTTCATGATAGGAGATGCATTTTAGCTCATCATTGGTAGCACCCCTTAAGAGATGAACACACACACAAAAAATTATTCTGAAGGAGAAGGAATAGGATTAGGAGGTAGCAGGTATAACCTCACATACAAAGAATAATTAAAGGACCAATGCATACTTGGCTTACAAATGAGAAATTTGAGAGAACTTAATAGTTGCCCTGGTCCATATGTCTCCAAAGAGGAAATATCTGGCCAATGGGGAGAAATTTCATTGTTTTATGAAACAATAAGCAACTTCAGAAATTAGTCATTCTAAATATGCAAGTACTGTCTGTATTTGATTGTGTTTTTCCACTGGTGGGAAGGCTGTATATGTCCCTCCCACCACACTTGGGTATTAGAAATAGCATTTGATTTCAGGGTTTCTAATTACCAGTCCAGCATTCTCTTTGTATATCACATTATTCAATTGCTCTTTTTTCTCCTTAAACTTATTTCTAGGATAAAGTATTAATTTAAAAAATATATCATCCAGCACAATTTGCTGATTGTTGGACTTAAAATTCATGGGATGAGGACATGTTTTTGTGCTTTAGCAAGATATTTAAAATCAGAATTTCTTTTATAGCAATTTATTCATATTTTGAAAGTCACATTTGAGCAAGTTAGTGATTTTGTTGTTTGTTGGTTATAGGTGGAAAAGGAACTGATTTACTATGTTCATGATGATAGTGAGGAGCTTCTTGATAATTTCACCATCTTTGCAAATAGCTCAGAGCTTGGAAAACAGAGTTTGCCCAAAACCCTTTTTGTGACTGTTGAATCTGTAAATGACAAAGCTCCAGTAATAACAGCCAATAAGATCCTCCAGGTAAGTGCTACATGCTTTTGACTTCACATGAGAACCTTAGGGCTTCCAAATTGTTTTTCTATTTTATTATTTCTAATGTTAAATAAGAAGGCATATGAATACACACACACACACACACACATATATTTGATATAATCCCATGGTTTTAAATAAATATTAGTTATTACCAGGACATTCTGTTGGGTGCCATTCGGAAAATATAAATAATCCCAATGAATCTGGTGTGATGCTCCCTTAGGCTTGGTCTTTGGAGGCAGGTTAGGAAGGTGTCTGCCCATGGACAGCCACTGCTAGGCGGGTAGTAGGTTTTGTAGCCAACATATCTGGGAGGAAGCCCTGGCTGCCCACTACTAGCTATGTGACCTTGAGCAAGTTATTTGGTTCCCTAGTTTGTCCTCATTAGGATGAAGGATTAAATAAGAGTGAGAGGATTAAATAAGATGATGTTAGGTTCTCACACAGTGCTTCCATGTAGTTAGTACTCAATAAACAGTAGCTATTATTTCTAAAAATTACCAGTTGGGTAAAAGAAGTCATGTGACAGTATTTTGCTGATCTGGGAACTTTGCTCCCTTTCACTGTCCTGGAAAATCCCCCAGGGGTAGCTCTCAATCACTCTCAGGTATTTCATCTCTCAGCTGGTGGGGTGTAAGCCATTTTGTTTCTGTTCTTTTGTGGAGATTGCCCTGAGGTAGCATCTCTATGTGGTTTCTGCTGCCTACACAAAGGGGCTGATGTGCCAGAAGCCTCCTGGCATGGACCGCACATTTCCTGCCACACAGCAACATAGGTGCTGGTGAACTCATTGATGCCAGTTTATACTGAAGCATCTCAAAAATTCCATTTAATAGATTCTCTCAGGTTTAACTTATACTTTCTTTATATTCCTTCTTCTAAGGATTTTATTATATGTACATGTGCATATAAACATGTAAATATTGTATACATGTCAATGCATCCAAACATTTAAATATTGTATCCCTTACTTACCTGGTTCTACAGAGGAGAAAACTAAAGCCCAGGGAGCAATCAGGGTCCTCAGAACAGTGGCTTGTAGGTTCTTTTGATGTCTATTCCAAGAATTCTTCCATCCTACTTTCTTCATCATGCTTTTTTTAGAGGGGTATTTTAAAAAAATAAACCACTTTAACTAACAAAATTGTGGTTGTTGTTGATGCTAGTCTAACCCAATATATCTTAAAGGATTTTTGAGGAGAGGGGTGGTGCTGGTGATCGATCCCACATAGCCAGGCAAGCACTCTACCACTGAGCTACACCCTCGGCTCTAAAGCTTATTTTCTAAGTGGTCTAAAGACCACCGAGCCACAGAATGGTGCAGCAGATGCAGCATCAATGGATGGAAGTGTCTTTGGTGAGCGTGGAGGCCAGCTAGGTCTCAGGGAGGGACAGGAAGAAAGTAAGGCAAATGGCAGTAAAACATGAAGCATTAACCTCTGCCCTTAATTTTTGAAACACCCTAAGGCCAATTAAATGATAGTGCAGGCATACCCAGGAGCCCACCAAGGGCTAATCTAATGAACAAATGTTACATTGTAAAAGATCACTGGGGTTTTAATGTTTATCTATTCAAAATAATTAGCTCTAGGAATAGACTTTTGAGCTCTTTTAGTGATCTTAAAACTCGATTCATTTTTCTATGTCTTCATTTTATGTGAAAAATTAATAGTGTTAATTAAAATTAATAATATGCCTTTGGAACTTGTGGCTTTGGAGTTTGCTTCACAGACACCATCCAGGTAGCCCAGGAATGGTATGTGCCAACTGGTTAAGCTCCTCTGTTTCAGTCACTTTTCTTATGCTTTCCACACAACTTTGGCTATGATTCCTACTGAGGTCACTCTCTGCAAAGTCATCTGAGAAGCAGGCTGTTGGCTAGAGTGAGGAATCTTAGCTGTCAATCACCAGTGAACAATTATAAAAGTTTATATCTCATGTGTTTTTACAGAGGACTGGGGGTCTTCAGTAACTAGTGTCATTCCCATAGCCCTTCAGAGGAACTGCTGAGATTATTAACCTTATTTGTAAAGTGGGAACATTGAGGTGCAGAGTGGTCACGAGGGAGGGGAGTGGACTTGAAACTAATCTGTCCACATCCCACACTCTCATCATCAATGCTCTGCCACATTCCCCTGTTACTTTTGTCTCACTCTGGCTCTTTTAATATATCATGTTATCAAGGGATAGTTTTGTTTTGTTTTGTTTGGTTTGTTTGTTTTCGGTAAGGAAAAAAAAAAAAGGCTGCAGAGCTGCTCTTGCTCTTACTGCAGTGGTTTTTATGCCACCACCTCTACAGCAGTTGTATTGACAAGAGTGGGTTTGCCCAGGAAAAGTAGTAGAGGGTTTGGTTGTGTTGCTGCATGATGCAGAACTGTAGAAAGTAAAAGATCCAGAAGAGGCAATAGGGCGGTCAGGATCTAGAGAGCTATGGGAGAAGGGCTGGGGTCAACTGAAGAAAGGGAGAACCAAGGAAGGAGATGGTCAATGCTTAGGCCTTCTTATGAAAAGGAATTTAAACCTCATGTCCAGCTCAGCTTTGAGCTCCAAGTTGCCCTCAGTTATAAGATGCAATATCAACTTAATCACATCTTTGTCATACCAAATGCATCTGCCAATCTAAGATGTTCAGAAATATTAAAATGTGAGGGAGAAAAAGCATACCCTAGACTTTGTTTCTGTCCTCCTCTAAAATTAGGGAAATACAGTCTGTGGGGTTGTTCTAGTGGTCTGCCCACACTGCCTCCCCCAACCTTGACTCAAAAGTGTTTTATCTCAAGGGGTTGGGGGGAGAATGAGGAGTAGCAGAGGCAAGGATCATTTTCTTCATTCTTACCTTATCCCTGATAGTCTGGATCCAGGCCAGTTTTGACTGGTATGCCATTCGACTCCGATTCTTTCTGAGTTTATTCATTTATTTGCCTGTAAAAGAAACTTGTTCTGTGTTTTGAAGTTTTCAGATTAAAATTAGGAGACTGGAGTTGAAGGTTTGTAAACTGGCCACTTGAACTTCAGGAACACTTACTAGCAAAACTGTAGGGAGAAGTTGTTTTGCTTGGTGATCTCAGTTCCTCCCAATTTGAATCCTCTGATTATATGACTGTAAAACTTACATGAGGTGCTCTGGTCTTGTTTGGCTGGACTTGGACGGATGGAGAAACTGTAGCATTGCAATTTTATATTGGTTTGATTCAATCTAGTCTGGATTAAGTGGACATTTTACATTTTAAAACCATTAAACCTTTTCTCCTCTTTTTGGCTGAGAAACATAAACAGTTTTGGATTTAAAGTCAGTGTTTCTACCATCTGAAAGTGACCAGGTACACTGTAGGATATGCTAACTAATTATTTAAAGATGTAGAAATAGTTTTAGCAGGACAAGCTTGGCTTAAAATGGAAGAAACCTCAAGAATTTGTTTTCTTCACTTGTAGTCAGTAATCTTGGTGCACTGTTCAGTGAAAGTTATTCTATATCAAAGGGCTTTGGTTCATTTGTCAAATAAGATTTTTCCTTTGTTTGACTTATAACTATTACAAATAGAATCTATTGGGATTTTGTTGATTTCCAGCTATATGATACAGAATTTAGTTAAAGGGCTTCTCTGTAATGGTTTTGTCTATGAAAAGGATGTGTTACTGCTCCCAGGAATCTGATTGGACTATGGCAACCCAGGCTTCTAGCTGGGAATGTTCTCAAAGAGACCTTTCCTAATCATCACAGGCAAAATAGCACTAGGCTGTTTTCTGTTTTGGGATCCTACTTTTTTCTTATTTTTAGTGCCCATTACTCTCTGATATTAAACAAATAAACAATCCATTGTCTGTCTCCTCACATAAATCTAATCTCCCTTTGGAAGGGACTTCACCTGTATTTGTCCTGTTGTATCCTCAGAGTATGACACAGCATCTGGCACATTATAGGGGCAATAAATATTAAATGGATGAATGCCTTCATGAAGCTTAGAGTCGGTGGAAAAGTCAATTAAATAATTATAAATGGAGTGATGATCTGCTATATATATATATATATATATATATATATATAGAGAGAGAGAGAGAGAGAGAGAGAGAGAGAGAGAGAGAGAAAATATAACATATATATATTTGCAAAGTATTTAAGGAGATAGAGAATGGTTTGGGGTTGGAGAATACTGATATTTCAGAGAGGATGGTCTGGGAAGGTCTCTCTGTGGAGGGAACATTTGTTGTGAGGCTTGTATGTCAGGGGCCCCAAGACCTCCCTAAGGTTCATCGATTTGCAGGACTTGGTATACTAATGACTACCACTTATCACAGTGAAAACTATAAAGCAAAATCAGCAAAGGAAAAAGGCACATGGGGTGAAGTCCAGAGGAAACTAGGTCGAGCTCTGAGTGGTTTTCCAGTGAAGTCACACAGGATGCACTTAATTGCTCCAGTAAGTTGTGAGCTTCTACCAGGGAAGCTCAATGGATACTGAATGCCCAAGATTTTTACAGAAGGCTGGTCAGGTAGGTGCCCTCTGCCTACTATGTACCCAAATCCCAGACTCCAGAGGAAAGCCAGTGTCCAGAATAAACCACATTGTTTGTACAAACAGTTTAGACACATTGACCCCTGTTGTCCCTCAGGGAAAATTTACTATCAGTGTAGAACACTGCTCAACTGTCAAGTTCCCAGATGCCAGCTGAGGGCCAACCTTACATGCAGACCATCCTAGAGAAAGGCAATCTTTAAGAAATTTTTAAATTTATAATTTTTAATTATATATAACATCCAGATATATCTGACATCATCAGTCCCCAGCACCCTCCCCCACGTCCCCTTCTCTACTTCACCAATCCCTCTTCAATCCATTTAAAGTTTACTTTTTTTTTCTTTTTCTAATTAGTGTCCTGTGGATACACCTGATGCCAGGACCCACCAACCACATCCACGCATGCACATAGGAAAACTCGGTCAGATTCATTCTACTATTCTTCCCTTTTCCAATCCTTAAAGGAAGG